GGGGCGCAAGGATAGAGGGACGAAAACAAGTTTGAGTTTATCAACAGGACAGATACATTTCAAGCATGGAGCTGCGTCAGCATGCGTAGGCTGCAAAGGGACAAGTACAGGTTTATTCCCCGCTGAAAAGAGAAGAAAAGAAACACAACGTTTCGGCTGTGGAGCCTTCTTCGGGTGAGGACGAAGAAGAAGGCTCCACAGCCGAAACGTTGTGTTTTCTTTCTTCTCTTTTCAGCGGGGAATAAACCTGTACTTGCTCCAGGACAGTGTATTTGCCCGCAGAGCAGGTTTATTAATCTCAAACAATGAAAACCTGATGCTGGAATAACGTGTATGTTCTTAGTCGCGCTTTGATTTGTTATAGCTGTCTTTTATTAACGATGGTTTATTGTTCTCCTTTATTAGACACTATCCAAAGATTGCCTTGCATTGCTGTTTCTGATCAATTATCGAAATTTTATTGATAACCTTTGATGTTTTTTATGACCTCCCTTGTCCTGTAACCTAAATCATAATGTTTAATTGCACTATGCGTAGAATCTTCCCCAAAATCTAAAGTTAAACAAAAGTTTGAGCTCAGGAATATGTATGCCTGTTCTGGTTGCTGTATATCCACAGTAGTTACCATCGAATGTAAACGGATGCCGTCGTCTCTCTGAATTACCTTTGCGCCCCCAGTAGTGAACTTGTTCTGGGTTTTTAAACAACTGATTTGTTTTCAGAAAAGTAAATGTTTGTTTTTGACAATAAATAGCAAATGAAAAAAAAAGAAAACTTCAGCGAGACTGATGTAGAGAAACGGAAACGGAAAACGAAAATCCCATAAGATCTTGGTTTTGAATTACATCGGCAGTCTACAAGATTCGCGCTACAGTATAAGACTCTTCGGTGCATCAGAACTGTGCTCTGAATCAGTTAGGTGTGTTTTGAGTGAAATTTACAATTACAGCAACGTGTATTGTGGAGCACAACTGTCTAACGGCCAAGCAGTTTGTACTCCAAAAGCATCAATTAAAGAAAGTGTAAATGCAAGTACAGTGTCAAAAATAAATGTACACAGACATACATCTGATTATTCCAGTCTTTTATTGACGCATTTCCAACGTTGTAGTGTTGAACAAAATAAAATCAATCAAAGCGCCTACAGTAGAGACTCGCCAACATAAACAGTTTTACGCAGAAAGTAAGGCAATGCGTTCTTTCCATATAATCAGAGTGGCGTGCGTGACAGCATTGTTGCTGCTGTCATTTTCATTACATACAGTACTGTACACTCTGTCTTCGTGTCACAGGTAGAGAAACATCCGTTCAGTCTTAAATCACGAGGCTCTCGTCCAAGTTTCTAAAACTCAGGAACCAGGAGTCCTTGCTGTAGCGCAGGTCGAGTTAAATTTTTGACCATGTTTTAAGCATATTTCTGTTATACTGTAGGTACAGTATACAGTATATCATTTGCACGTATATTTGTTAAAAATAACAGGCATAAACCAAATGCTAAAGAGCGAATCGTACTTGGTCGATCTCAAACCATCCATGTTTTTCTAAAAAACACATGACGCAGACTTCAGCTTTTAGTAATATGAAATTAAATACTATTACTGTTAAAGGATCTCGTCTCTGAATTCATAAAGTCTTCTTGAAAACATTCTCAAAATATCCGAATACGTTTTATTCCAAGGAAATACCTAATCCCATGGCGTTTATTTGTATAGACAACAAAACTTTTTTCTTTAATATTGTAATTTAAAATGCAGAATAAATAATTCAATTTATAGTGTCAACTGTTTTTTTAAACACTTACAGTAAAAATTTAATTCATTTGATTGGTTCTGTTCAAGTGATATAATTCTACGTTCCACAATTTCCATAAAAATATATTTTATATATAGAAAATAAGTGTACATATATGTATAATTCGATGCTACTTTATTCAGATTTAATTAATTAAATTAAATTTTAATTAAATAAAGTGTCGTTTTTATATCTAAAAATCTTTTCTACGGACCTAAATGACAAAAATCACAAAGTCTTGGTGGTGCAAAGATCTGGTAGTTTAGCTCAGCACAGAACAGTCATGGTATACAGTAAATATATATATATACAGGTTTTGAAGGCATAATTTAAAAAAACATTCAAATATGGTTATCACACACACAAACTGTGGAATGTAAAGTATTTCTTTTAGGTCGTGGTTCAAGATGCATGAGGTAACGTTGTTGTAAGCTGTAGAAAGTGTCGATTTAAAGAAATTAATCTTGGCGTGTTGCGAACAGCAGATACACTGTTTGAATTACAGAGAACGTAGCCCATTTAAACGTAGAAGGCAAAGGGACAATGGGTCACTAATTAATAGAGATCTATATATCTGAATCTCGATGATCATCGCACGTAGTTCATTCTGTTTATTGACTTTCCTGTATGTTGTACAAGCATGACTGCTTCTCTTTGCAAGACCGAAACTCTCTCTCTCTAAATATGTTGTTTTCAAGAAAAAGCATTAAGATATACGAGGAACAAAACCCATTATTGTATGTCAATCATCAACGGGATCTACAACTATAAACTTGTAACTTACACATTTCCCCCCCAAAAAAAACAGTAACGTTGTTTTTCTGACAAGACAATGCAATAAAAGAAATTTATTTACCGCCGTTCACGCCACCCATTTCCCCTTTAAATGATGCCCTTTAAAAAATCCACACAAAAAAATAACAAACTTTTAGACGTTTTAGCGTTTTTAACGTGTTTGCTGTTCAGTTCCAAAGCCCTGTTTGTTATAAAATTGTGATAAACGCAACAATAAAAGTAACAGGATTTAAGCCTATTGTCTGGCTCCAAGAGCCTTTCTTTCTGCGGTGGTAGCAAACTCTCCATCCTCTTAGAAGTCCGGGGAGCCTTTATGCTGCATAAACTCTTCGCATCTTTTATGTCTTTTCTTTAACATCGCACACACGATCTCTTATTTTAAAACACGGCGAGTCTTTAAAGCTTAAAACAGTGGCTGGTGGCAAAGAAAGAAAAGGAAGAAAAGCAGACGACCAAACCGTTTTGGCGCATGAAACCAAGTTTGAAACTGTGAGAGGGAGCGGACACAATAAACCTGTTGTTAACCTTGCTGTGAAAATATGTTTGAAGAAAATAGGCAATTGTTGTATGAAATGTATTCAAGTATAAAATAATGCCCTTTGTTGGGAAAACTTGAGCAATGTGACGGTACAAAAGTCCCCTGTGGTATTTACTTGCTTCCTTTGTGATGTTTGCGCTATGGCGTCTCCACTTGGCGCATTACCCAGACCCCTTTAAACGCGATTGTTTCTTTCTTTCTAATGACATTTACCGGATCAAAACGTGCTGTTAATTCGATCAGAAAGCTTCACCCTCCCTAACAATGCCAGAATAAGTTCTCCCAAAGTTTGTTAAGTTGACCAAAATTAAGCAAATGAATGGGGCTCCCCGGGCAATCCCTCGTGCAGGTGACAGGGAATAATGCACGTTAGCACCAGCTGCATTCCTCTTTATTTCTGCCTTTCTTTCACAGCATTATTAAAATTTGGGCCAATGAAACTATTCATTCACTTCAATAGACATTTTCTTATAGGATAATAGGCTACAAATTGAGCCTCTCCATAGAGAATCCAGTGGTGGGTAACCCTCGTGTGCCAAAGGCTGCTGCAGCCGCTGGTCGGGACAAGGCACGGCTCGTGTGCCAGTCCCAGGCCCACACCTGCCGAGGGTCTCTCACAAATAAAGAATGTAAACAAAAAGCTAGCCATCTCTCATGAAAGATGGACGTGTCACCAAGTCGTGTGAGAAACGCCGAGAACAAACGGGGGGACTCCATCTCCAAAAGATCTCCCTTGAACTTGGCGGAACAGCCTATTAAAGGCTTACTTAATTACTTTAATGACTCTGGACAGGCCTTAAAACTCAGACTGAGCTTGGATAGAAGTTAAGATCGCTTGCTGGGATTTGTAAACAGACGATCGTGTGAGAAACGCGAGCGGGGAGAAAGAGGTTTTTTTGTGTGTGTTGTGCTTTGTTGTGTTTTGCGCGCTGCGCTCCAGAGGATCAGGGCAGACTCACAGCTCAGTTCGCATTTCCCGCCTGGGTTGTTACTATGCAAATATTATTCTACAAGCGATCACGTGTCCTTTGAAGAGCCACGTGGATTAACAAAGATGCTGTGCCCCCCTGCCAGCCCGTGGCTACAGATTTTTTTGCTATTTCTTGAACTGATCCTAAATGCACACATTTCCCAAAAGCCGTCCTCTAATCCCGTGGAATAATTTACGCTATGAATGCCCTAGTCCCCTTAAATGATCGCTTTATAAGGAGCAACGTTCGCCCAGAGAACCTCAGTCCATCTTGCTCCACTTAGGACAGAACACAGAACTAACTGTCCGTCTCCTTATCGACATCTTTTTTTTCCCTCATTTGTCCTTTACTGAGCAAACCAAACGATGACATCCAGGATGAAAGAGCGCAAGGTAAGGACATTCTGCATGCGTCGCACAGGGTGTGGAGATAAACTCTAAACGTTGTGGTGTAAAAGGGGGGTATCACCGTTAATCTAACTACTTCATGCAGGACCAGCGCTGTAATTATCACCCACCTTTATCCAGTCTGGAAAACATACGCAGCGCTACAGACGGAAAAAAACATGAATGTACGCTTAAGATCTGCGCTCCAAGCGGGCGAGTACATTTCGATGTTAACTCCGAAATTTTAATTTTAATTTAGGCAGCCTGTCGCACTGTTCTTAGAATGAACATGCCTAGGGACGTTCACCTTCGTGTGATTAGGTCGTATGTTATATTTAGGACTGCGTCACTGGCACGGCGATATTTTCCTGACCTTTTCTTCTCCTTCCGAGACGGTGTAGCCCCTTGCCTACGGTATCTGCCCGTTCTCAGACTCCACCTTTTCATTTTACATGTAAAAATGTCATGATTGATAAATGCCCCTTTCCCCCCATATATCCGTGTTTCGCTTGACTTGTATTCTATTTCTTACTACAGGCTTGGAGAGTCCTGCTAATGCAGAGGGATTTGCGCAATAACTCACGCGTATTATTAGCTTTGGCTTAAAGCGATTGAATTAAACATCCTTATCCCCTTCTCTCTGAATTCCTTTCCACAGAAAACTCCTGTTTCTCACAAGGTGATAGAAAAAAGAAGACGAGACCGCATTAACAGGTGTCTCAACGAGCTGGGCAAAACTGTGCCGATGGCCCTAGCGAAGCAGGTAAGATCAGGACTCGGGTCTCTTTTTGTCACAGCGCTCATCGCTTCCGTCGCTCTGTTTGAAGACATTTGACTTTAATATGTGGTAGTTATGGTCGTCAAACTGTTGTTGGCTGTTAATAACAGTACCACCTACACCTGTGTCACATTTCGTTATCATAGGCGGAGTTAGCAAGTCTACAAAAGATATATACGTCGGCCTGCTGCAAATGTCGATTTTATTTTGGTTCAGATCTCCTGAAGTGAATACCTTACTCGTTTTCTTAGTGGTAATCTGATTTCCCGTTTTTCTTGTGCGGTGCAGAATTCCGGCAAGCTGGAGAAGGCGGAGATCCTGGAGATGACTGTCCAGTACCTCAGAGCGCTCCACTCGGCCGACTTCCCCAGAGGCAGAGAGAAAGGTACTGCTGTTCGAAAATGCTCGTGGGTTCACAGTCCCTGTGGCGCTCCAGTGACTCAGGACTCGGCAATGTTTGTTCGAGACAAGCGTGTGATGTTGGTTGAGTGCTGGGCGCCTCGGGTGGAGAAAATCCACGCACTCGCGCAAGTTTGCACCCATCCTGAACCGCGCTCCCCAAAAAAGCGTTTTGACCGCAATGAGGGACCCCTTAGCTGGTACGAGAGGGCACCTGGTGTGTTTATAAGGTACCAACATCATGTTGTTTAAAATGCACGCATTTCTCTTTTGACTCCAATGTGCGTTTGTGGGTCCCCGGGAACGGGTTAAGCTTCGTTAGTGCCGAGCGCCACCAAAAACCAACATACCGTATTTAACGGTGTGTGGCTTTAAATATGGCTGCACGTGGGCTGGTTCTTGTGAATGAGGGTGACTAACATTGTCCCCACGTTCATACAGAAATGAAAAAAAAAACACGTTTATTTTTATGTTGGAAGTTCGGGCAAATCCCGTGACTCTTCCTCGTGGACTAGATGTGTAAAAAATGCCCGGCCAATCGGACCACTGATCTCCATTTCTTTTTTTTTTATTGCAGGGGAGCTTCTAGCAGAGTTTGCTAACTATTTTCACTACGGTTATCACGAATGCATGAAGAACCTGGTGCATTACCTAACCACAGTGGAAAGAATGGAAACCAAGGACACCAAGTACGCGCGGATACTGGCTTTCCTGCAGTCGAAGTCCCGCGTCGTAACCGAGCCCGTGTTCGGCTCGATCGGGACCTTGCCCGACGCCTCAGACTACCTGTGTCAACTGCACTCGACCGTGGACTATCAAAGTCACAGCCCCGCCGACTCCGTGTTCCCGCCGGCCCCGGGACACTTCTCCTGGCACAGCTCTGCGCGGAGCCCCTCCCTCCCTTACCCCTCCGTGCCGATATCCGCTTCCCCCCCGCAGCACGGCGGCTACCTGTCGCCGGTTCAGGGTCTCGACCACCATCACTACCTCAACTTCATCGGCCACCCGCACGCCAACGCGTTCAGTCTGCACGGCGCGCAGCACGCCGCTTTGTGAACGAGAGGCTCGTCGCTTACAGTACTTATACAAAGGGTCTATAAAGGAGAGCAACTACTGTAAATGATCTTTTACCCCTCACTTGTGGTGTGGCGGCCCTGCATCTGCGTGGGGTGTAGAGGAAAGCGGGCTCACTGAGGTTTATTGTCCCTAAAAGTCAACAGGTACGTGGTGACTCCCCCTCTTCTCACAGGGGGAGAGGGACAGGTAGTGGAGGGAGGGGGTTAGAGGCCCCCGCACTCCAGCACCGGGGGCCCGAACACTACAGCGCTGGAGAGGTTCGAAGACAAATGCATTGAGAAAATGAAACTGTTGTGGCATTTATGCCTAAAAAAGTATAAGCATTGGTCTTTCGTTTCTGCCGGTGTGATGAGAACAAAACACTTTGTCATCGGATGCAGCAGGTGTTATGGTGTGCTAAAACCATTAAAGGACAATGCATTATTTTTTCTAACACGAGAATTCTGTTTATTTACCAAAGACGGTAATAAAATACATTCGCGTTGGTGTTTGTGCGTTTCGACGTGTCAAACGGGCTGCCCCCCCCACACACAGTTTTATTTTAAAACATTTTTTTTACTTCTGCTTCAGCAGAAAATACCCTAAATATCTACTGTAGTACAGCTGAGTTTGTTCAAATGCCTGTATGTGGTCAAACCGAGCCCTGTCTTACTCATTTGTTGCAGATTCTAATGACAGTTCTGTATTAACTTCGAAATTGACAAAACAGCGTGTCGTTGGAGAATGTTTTTTTTTTACGAATACGATGGGAACCTATTCCCGCTTTCTAAACCAATCAGAAAACCAGGGGTGTCTGCAGCAACCCACTATCCCGTTGTCAGTCTGTGGTTTGCTGAGGACAGGCTGAAAGGACGGGGGTACGGTACCTCACTCAGGTTACAGCAACAGGGGGCCAAGCGGAGGCTGAAGCCATCACCCCAAACACCCAAACCCAAAGCTCACCCACGACGCTCCGTCGCGTCCTTCTTTCACAGCACTTTCTTTAAAAAAAAAAAGAAAAAAAATCAAATTCTCCCATTTTCTTGAAAAATGTGATCTGTCTGGGGGTGGAAATCGTGTGCAGGAGGTCTGGGGAGGTTGTCGACGAGCCCGCCGCATGTGGAGCAGGACTGGAGGGCAGCGGGCAGATGTCCTCACATGTCCAGACTTACACCAGTTTCACAACGGACTATAGTTTACACGCAAGAAAGCGTCTCCCTTTCCCAATGCTGTCAGAAGAAAGGCGAACTACGCGATCGCACCTCCAACTTAGCTAACGTCAACGTTATGATATACTGTACGTAACCGCAGGGATCGTGCGTGGTGGTTATGTCTGAGAGGAACTGAAGGGAGACGGATATTCTGTTTTTTTTTTAGTTTATTTCTTAATTGTCATGTTTCCACCGGCTGCGTTCTCACTCTCTCTTTCCGATCTCTTTCTTTCCTAGTCCCATTATCCCGTATAACCAACCAGAAAACAAAGACATTGTACACGATATATATTAACGTAAACCTATCTGCAAACTGAATCACACCCGAAGAAGGCTCCACAGCCGAAACGTTGTGTTTTCTTTCTTCTCTTTTCAGCATGGAATAAACCTGTTGCTTGTTCCTCAGAGAATTCTATATTACTCAAAATATTTTAAACTGCATAACTGAATCGAACAACAATAACACGACATAAGCTAACATTTATATAGCAGATGAGGCACATCATGTACTATATATAATACACATATATATCTCATACTGGGGGATAATTCACTAATCCAGGTGGTAACATTAATAAGAAACAGACTCTGTGTGAGATTTTGCACCTTGTTCATCCCTGAAACAGGCTCACCGGAAGAGTGCCACGCAGTGCACATTTCCACCTTTTAAGTTGCCTGGTGTGGTCATGTCCGCCAGTGTGAACTCGGATCGGCATTTATAAAATGAGTGGATCAGTTTCTATACTTTGGAACTCCAGAGAGGTTTCAGAAAACGTTATCATTCAGTTCATTAAGTTTTTATTCATAACGTATTTCCTCTCCCCTCTGCCAGATCTATAGAGAAGTTCTCGTCATGGGTGCTAGCGTCTTTACTTAAAGCTGTGGTTTCTTTATGAAAAATATCATACACATTGCAACACTTATGTAAACTTACACCATAAACAAACGTCACATAACTTTGTACAAAAACCTGTAGTTTGGTAGGTTTTACGCCATAGATTTGCTTATTGCGTTTGTCAAAAGGCGTTATTTTTACGCAGCGATAACATAGCCAGGTTCAGCGCAGCTGAATCAATTTGCGTTTATTTTACAACGCGTCTCTTATTTGTGGAACAGAATTACATTTTAATGAAAACGATTCCGATTTTAAACAAGCTTCACGGTGTTGCATTAACAGCCAGGCGGGACGGACGCGCAAAGCTCCAGTTAGAAGCAGCCGACGGCACAGTGAAAGCAGCGAGACGCAGGTACCGAAAGAAACAACGTGTGGATGTTGTATCGCTGCTGGTCCATCTTAAAGGCTTCGGTGAAAACTGGGAAACGAATTTTACTTTTAAATGGGAATTCCCCAAAAAATAGTCAAATGATTTATTTTGGAATAAACAGACAATTTGTGCCTGTATTTTAATTTCCAACCATTTAAAAATGCGTCTAATTGCTTCTTCACTGACAGGTGGTATTTTTAAGCACTGAACTATTGTGTAGCGAGAAATGAATGCTCCGTGCGCTTTTCTAAGAACTGTAACGCGGCTGTAGAATATTGCGCTAATTGTACGACAGCAGCATCCAGAAACGGCTGCTGTTAGAAACACCTCTATTCGGATCAGTCGTCACAACGCAAGAACACCACGCAACCTGCTGATTGCGTCGTTTTGTCAGTTTTTAATATACGTGTTCTGCCGATTAAGGCGTCAGCTTCTTCCGGAGTGGAAACACTTTTCCAGAAAGTGCACAGTATGCTCCTCGAGTTGCTTGCCGGCACCTATATTTAAATAAAATGCAAATAACACAAATAAGGTTTGTAAATACGTTCACACAGAGGAGGATCGACAGCAAGGGTTAATCCCCGTGTTTCAACATAAAAGAGGTCCGCAACACTGTTTACCGAGGTCTCTTCCAGAGCGACCCCCGATTTGTAACATTACACATTTTTTTCTAACCCAAGTGTAAGACAACAGTTCGACTTCCACTATGTTTAAATACCTCATTTTCCCATTTTTGAGCGCATTTCTGGTAATACCGGTGTTAACTTGTCGTTTATCCCGGCAGAAACAAATATTTAAGTCCATTGACGTTCGCTGATAATGAAGTGGAAATACACTATCCGCAGAAAGGTTCGTGCAATGTTTTATTTGCATGTCGCATAGGATTCGTGGGGATTAAGATTGCAGTATACGACTGAAAGGGGAAAAAATTAGCTTGTAGACCCCAAAAAGATTTTTTGCCCCAACTTTTGGCAAGCACCGTAATTTCCATATATTTAGGCAAATTAGGCAGACCGTATTGTATGTAGGATTAAAGTTTTAAATATAAAGGGCCGCCGTGGTTAAAACTCGGAACATTTACATACAATTTTGCAAAAATTCCGCTCATCCATGACTGCCTTTGTTCCTCCAATTTTGGTACGTGCGCTTCTCCTCCCCAAACCTCGCAGTGGCAAACCCTTTACCCGCATTAACAACAATTCTAACTCAAATAAAATCTCCCTCCCGTCTCTTTTTTTTAACATCTTTCACTCCATATTCCAACTTTGGCCAAAAGTCGAACCTGCGGATAGTCTGACTTTCCAAAAGATTAAAAATGCCCGTTCAAACCAGGAGGGAATTGATTCAGTCCAGCTTGCGACTTAAATGCGTTTTTCCCTCTCCCACAATGAATTAATTCATCTCTCCTCTTCCCTTCGCTCTTTCTTTAAGTAAGTTGTATGGCATGTGGTTTCCAAGAGAGCGCCGACAAACACAGAAAAACTCATAGTGGTTTTTGCTGGGGGTGCCCCATTGTACAGGTCCTGAAAGGGGGACAATCTCTGGTTCCTTGGGCTTCATCCTTGAGTGGGCAAGAATAAAAATAATCACCCCCATCAAATCAAAGACTCTCTGTAGAAGGAAAGGACAAAGCAGCTTGATGGTGCGGCCGGCCGCGCTCGTTCCTCCAGCCCGGCTGAAGGAGACCTCAGGCGGGTCTGCCTGGGCTGCACTTTCCCCTAATACAGAGCTCACTTGTGCTCCCGAGCGTCAGGAGCAAACAGAACCGCGGTGCCGCATCCATACACTCGCAAATCACCGAGCCCCCCTCTGCGCGCCGCGCCATTGTAAAGGCGGAACACGCAGGTGTCCGAGGAGGAAAAAAAAACCCAAAACAAAACAAAACAGCGGATGGACACGTTAAGCGGATCGCCAGACACCAATATAAACCTTCGGAATAAAAGCAAAAAACAAAGGCCGGAGAAAGGAGCATGCAGACGGAAAAGTGATAAGGAGCTAAAAGCAGCCGGTCGTGAAAGCGCGCTTTGGCTTCGACGGCCCTGCCTTTACTTTTGTGTGACCGTGGTGTTGCTGTTAACACGAGGGGAAGTGGGACTGTGAACGTGTGCACAACCAGGACAATCTGCAAAACATTCAAAACGGCTTCCTGGAGAGTGGTATTTCTGTTAAGGTTGACCAAGTATCCCCTCCTGGATGCGGCGTTCATCGTTTGCCTGAGTGCCGGTGACGCTACAGCGTACGACGACCAGTCACCTACTGTACATCCAAACACAGGCACCTAAGGTTTGAGAAAACGTGGGGAAACTTTGTGTTACCTTCACGCTTTCACCACAACGTTTCTTGCGCAGCAAACGTTCTGTGTATCACGGAAAAATAAGAACATGGCAAAGGTTGTGAACGAGAGGGGCTCCTTCTCCCCACGTAGCTGATCTGGTAATTAGTAGCTAACTAAGCTGAGGGTCTCGCCCAGCCAGGCCGTTTCTTGAAATAAGCTAGGCTATCCACAAACAGGACTGGGTA